ATTTATTTTATAAATTTTATTTTTTTATTAATTTAATAAATTGGTTTAATTTTAATTATATTTTATAATTTTTTTATCAAGTAAATAAACATAATGAACTAAAAATATTTCGAAACATATATTAATTAAAAATATATTTTAAAAATATTATAACGAATATTTTTTTAGAATGTTAAGTTAAATATTCTAAATTATATATTTTAATATAATAGGAGAGTGATGGTCTAACAATCATATTTCTAAAAGATAAAAGAGTAATTTATTCTATATTTTAATATATAAAGGGAGTATAATGTAATATTTTTATCTCAAAAAGAAAAAAGGATAATGCACATAAATTTGAAAGTTCTGCGAATTGTTTGGTTGACTTGGCCAAAAGCGTTAACTTAACTCCGGCTAGCCAAAAGCATCATATTTGTGTATGTGTTATGCGTTTTACATGCAAGCCCATAGTAGCATTATACATATAATTGTTTTTTTTATTAATGGTTTATTAATTGCTAGCTATTAAAAAAAGTTTTATGTTTTAATCTTATCAACTTTGATTGAGATTTTGATTATGGATAATCCAAATAATTATTATGACATATAATTTAAGGTTTTAACACATTTGATTTGATTTATTGAGTCTAAAGTAAAAAGGTTATGTAATGTGAGTTTTTGGGCCTAATCTTGTCTAAATTGGCAAACATGATGTGTGGATCAAATTTTGTTATTCTATTGATTTTATTTTTTTTACGACATATACAATGTTTATTTTTTTTTTTAGGATTCCTTTTCACACTTAAAACTCGAAAATTCTTCTCATTTATAGAACTATATGAGACTCTGATACATATGGTTTTTATCTTTAGTCTTTTTTATTTGAGATCCACAAATTAGGGATATACAATGTTCATTTTTCATGAATTCTTTTGTTTATTTGTTAATGGTCAAATATTATTTTGAAGTGCACAAGAACATGGATCAAAACCAACATGGTCAACCAGCAAGAGGGATTAGTCTTTCAACAAGAGAAGCACGTGGGAAAAACCCCATGATGGAAGCTACCAATCCTCCACCTCAGGCAACTAATACTTGTATACCTCCACCATACCCAATACAACAACAATATGCTCCCCATTACATGTATGACCCACAAGAAGACCACTTGCAACATCAACTCAACAATTGTTGGGCTAGACTGTGTCAAGAAATTGAAGAGACCACCGACTTCAACACTCACAGTTTGCCTTTGGATAAGATTGAGAAAATCATGAAGGATGATGGGGATGTGCACATGGTATCAGCTGAGGCTCCTGTGTTGTTTGCTAAGGCTTGTGAGCTGCTTATTCATGAGCTCACAATGAAGGCTTGGGTTAATGCTGATAAGAGTAAAAGGGACTTAATTCAGAAGTGTGACATTGAAGCTGCAATTACAAATACTGATGAGTTTGATTTTCTTGCTGATGTTGTCCCCATAGAGCATGTAGGCATATCAAGAAGAGACATTGATCCAACTCAGATTGTTCCTTACTATTACATGCCACCTCATCAGCATGTTATAGGCCCACCATTTGATGCTCCATAAATGGTCATCAGAAGACCCCTTCTTGATCAAAAATACCATGGACAACCTACCCCCAACAACAAAACACAATCATTCTTCTGATTTGGATGATTGAGGAAATAATAGGCACTTGGTGAAAAATATGGTAATTAAGGATCTTGCGTTTGGTCAATATTTTTTAGCTTTAAATAATTAAGACCTTTATTTGCTTTTAGCCTTTCCTTAATGGTATGTTAAAGGTGAATTTAGTAGTGTTGTGTTTATATATATATAAACACAAATATAGGTAAGGTGTATTTTTGTCTTTTTTTTTTCTTCTTCAACTTTTTTCCCCTATTTTAAAATAAAAATATTTTAGTTATCCTAATTTTTAAAATACAATTTTTTTGTTATATTTTTAATTTGATATCTATTTACTTTAAAACGTTAATGCGTGACTTGTTAGCATTTAAGTAAAAAGACATTTATTTATTTACACTATGTTTGATGAATATAAAATCATATTTTATTTTATTTTTAATTAAGACCAATTTAGTCTGATGATTGACATGGACCAGATAAAAAATTAATGGATGAGAGTAAAATAGGTCAATTCAATCTAGTCCAAAATCTTCATTTAACCTGTTCAAATCAAGCTAAACTAGACTAGTACAACTCATTTAACCGTTCTAGCACCAATAATGTTATCTATCTTTTTTTTTTTATTTTTAAAAATTATACTATTAAAAATTACCTATTCAATTATGTTACAAAACATACTCTATCACAAATTATAATGCTATTTTTTAAAAAAAAATTAGAATATCATCAATTCCTTAATTGATTGGGTGTCACTCATAACAGATTTTCAACACCCTTTCCCTCCTCCCCTGCAATTGACTAGTCTTGTATTAAACCACAAATAAAATTATTATCAAATAATAATAAAGAAATAATAATTATGTTTTATTTTTATATTAAATAAACTCTTAAAAACTAATTTTACTTTTATTTTTTCTGAAATCAAACAACATTTATTTTCATCTTATTTTTCACCTATTTATTTTCTGTTTCTCTACATCTATCTCCTTATTCTCTATCAAATACACTTGATATTTAAATACAGTTGATATTTAGATAACTAAAATTACAATTTATCGTACAAATATAAATTTAGAGAAGCGGATAACAAACTCGCGGCCCACTGCAAGAAACTATAGCAACACATGCCACCATATAACCGGGCTACCCCATATAAAGACTTCAGTTTTGTTCATTGAAATATATACATTAACTAAGCTTTATGTATATTACATTTTATCCTATGAACTACCTGATGCTTGAATATATTCTTAGCAAATTATTCTTGATAAATTAATAAAAAAAATATAGACAGCAAAGACAAAATCTGAATATTCGTAATATGTAAAGTGTGAAATAGAAAGTTTTAAATTTTTTTAATTACATCTCAAAAAAGTTAATTTATTTTACATCCTGTTGGAAAACTTTCTTAACAATCTACTCTACTCTATTGCACTTCAAACCAATTTATCCACTAAAGACAATGATACACACAAAAATTAGAATTTATAAACGTGTAACTTTAATCATAAGAAATATTCTTATTCCACAAGATATGTGTATCTACTATTTTTGCACAATAATTTTATTTATTTATTTATTTATATTGGAACCCAAGTTTACAAAAAAAAAAAAAACACTTTGTTAGAGCAACGAACATTTTAAAAAGTTTAAACAAAGATTACCATTATTATTCTTTGGGCAAAACAAGCAACTTCACACGTTTTATATACATGTCTTGAGTCAGAAACAGCAAGAATTGGCAGGACAAATATCTTCCAAACTGTAAGAAACGATGCAGGAGCTTAAAGGTAACTCAACTTACTAATAGTAACGCACAAGAAAATTAACAACACGTCATTTGACACTTTTTTTCAACACTTTTTTAAAGTGAATGAATTTCTATATAAATCCTACTAAATAACCTAAGCTCACTCTAATAATGGAGCAAGCATGATATTTCACCTAATTTGCTTTTACGACTTGAGCTATTGGTTCATCTCAAGAAAAGACCAAACTGTGATTGTATGAGTTACTTCTCTCTTTCAATGAATGACAAGCTACAGATATAATCACAAATTCACAAGTTGCCAAAGGAAAAGTATCAATACAAGGAAATATATGATTTACTTCTCTTTCAATGCTTGATTAATGAAAGCTCTAAAAGCTGTCCAACTTTGCCGAGAGTCTTAATTTGTTTCTTGAAAACAGCAAACTAACAACGAAGGAAGGAGCAGATGTATCACAATAAGAATAGAGAGGAGCTGTCTAAGCAATAAGCATACAGTATAATACTTGAATAATATTCATAAACAATCTGAGGATTACTGTAATATATAAATTATACATAGTCATGATAAAGCAGTCTATAGCATAATATATCATCAAACACTTCTCAAGTCACATTACATGTATCAATGCTGTTTGTTTCAAAATCCAAAACACAAACCCCCTATTCTATTGATAAATCTAGGCGAGTTCAGAGTTCAATTGGATTAGTAAACTTTCAGTTCTATTTTCTTGTATATAACATGCCCATGATACAGTGAAAGTAGCTATTTCTGTTTTTGAGAATCGAATGAGTGAAAAGAATGGAGTTGCCAACAGAGAAATACAACAAAACATTTATCACTAGAGTATTTTACCTAAGATTATATGGAGCATTATCTGCCATGGATATTACATGTCATTTATGTGACTCATCGGTGAACCAAATCCTTGACAGTTGTTCATCATCTGGAATGAGTATTCAGTATTATATACTATAATGTTTAATTATACGAAACTAACCTTCACCAAGGAAATTTTACAGCGCAGCATGCAGTGGACTAGAAACTTGTTTTAGATCTTTCTCAGTATGAGAGGCATGCTTGTTTGGATATACCTAAGTTAGAATAAAGAAAAGGCTTGTGCTTACACAACCAAACTGACTACCATCAACAGATACACATCTCAGAAATAGAAAAAGTACATAGACAAGGACTAGTTGCCTGAAAAATGGTTCTAGCGCAAAAACCAGTACCTTGAAATGAGTAACTGTTTGGACAGAGATAGCACAGCAGTTGCTAAGTAGCATCTGCGTCATGTACTTCAGAACTTACTTTCTGAACAATATTTGGAACAAGAAAAAGTCCATCCTCAAAAATGTCCAAAAAATTGATCAGAATTATCAAAATCATACAGCCTATATTGAAATCAATATGCACATGGTAATCAGACTCAGACTGTGAGGTGCTTAAACATCAACAACCAACATACATACCCCATCTATTACAATTGTGACGTTTGACTACCTTTCATGTCTCATGGTTTCATTCACACAGTCCTTACAACATTGTGTAAATGTTAGGATCATACATGGAGGCTATTGGCAACGGGTAAGTTATCTCCAATACAATAGTATCATAGAACTCAAATGGGGAAAAAATACATATTCCACAACAAGGACCGAGAAAACTATATATTTGATAAAACATTATATCTTAAAGGCCCAAATTTCTAACACAGACGTAAAATCTATGTACCCTTGCCTAACAATAACTAAAACTTTTAGACATAGTATTAAAAGCTGGATAACCAGGTGATATATTGTCGTATATATGTGAAGTATTTTAAAAAAATGAAATCTCACATTACTTGATATTAGTAAACCCATAAGTACTTTGTATACTTAAGTTTGTCTTAGAGTTTTCAAAGAGGAAAGTGATAGGTGGTGGATTTGTGTGTATGAGAATGAATCTCATGGTCTAACTTTGAATCATTTTTATTTTCGATTTAGATTATTTTCTTTAATTTTTGCACAGCTTTTGAACTAAAATGTCTCTGTTATATCTTGTGATTTGTGCAGATATCACGGATAAATTTTTAAGGTTAGTGTCATATGTCTTAAGAATTTTTTTTTAACATTTTGATTAGTATTTCAAGTTTTTCTACTCGTGACATCGACCATCCATTTTTTAAACATATATTTCACCCTTGCAAATTTCAATTTTACTATCAAAATTTCAGCACAAAGTAATGTCAACTTTCTCAAGTTAAGATCTCATGCACTCATACATTTTAAGCTAAATGAGATTTTACATGAGTAAAAACTGCCTTTTAACCTCTCCTCCAACTGTTTATTTTTTTAGAACCACTAGTTCTTTGACTGTCTTTCATGTAACACTACGCCATAGTCGTAATTAACATCACCTACATGCATGTTATCATACATACATACTGGAAAAGAATAAGATCACTTGGAGACCAAAAGCAAACATTAGAAGATAAAGATAAGCTAATTTCATAAACAATTACGCAAGTATCCAGCATCATTTCAAGAGTAAGCATACTATAAGAAATGGGTCTCTTCCAAGGCCTGGATCAATGACAAGACGGTCAAATCTTTTATCCACTTGTTGTCAACTTCAGCAAGAGCCGTGATAGGTTTTTCTTGTTCTCTTCCGGTCTTCTCTGAATTAGTTTCCCACTAACAACATCCACTTGGTTTTCTGAAATGTGAAGACAGAAATATGAAGATTACATAGAAGTTGTAAAATAGGGTGCATAATCAACTCAGGACTGTAGCTTTTGCCTTTTGGTGACAGGAGCAGCATCCTTTGTACAAAATAGATGTGACAAATCTGCATACTGCAAGGGTGGAAAAATAGTTGGATAATTGGGTTCAACAAGAATAGGTAAATATCTTCCAAAGATAGCAAAATAAGGGAGAAGTTAATCGATGTGTGTTATACAATCAGCCAAACTTGGTGGAGATTTCAGCATGAGAGGGGAAAGGGTAAATGAAAAAAGAGTTCAAGAACCAACAATTTTTAAAGCTTATATGGCAGCAAAACATGGGGCACCTGTATGTATATCCGTGGCAACCTCTAATTTCAATCCAGCCTCAAACAACAATTAAATCAAACAAGGTTACCTGTATGTACATATGATTTTGAAATTTCTAACCTAGATTAGCACAACTCATCAGTCCCAGGAAATTTCGACAGAACTCCAATACCAATTTTCAAAACAAATGAAAATAAATAAAAAAATTAAAAAAAAATCAAATTTTTCGTAGGATGCTTCTACAAAGTTTTTAATTTAATAGTTGTAGGTCTTGTCTTGAGACACTGAAGTCAACCTAGTACTCTCATGTGCTTGTCTCTATTAAAATACTATTTAGCATTTACAAGAAATTAATTTTAAAATATTGTGTGAACTATATTAAAAAAATATCAATAAATAAAAGAGGTTGAAAAATAAATAAATAAAAATGATGTAAATATTAGTTTTAGGTTAAAATATATTTTTAGTATCTATAGTTTCACTTATTTTTTAATTTTAAAATAGATTTATTTAGTTCTTATACTTACTTTTTTAATTATTTTTATTCTTTATATTATAAGATAAACTCTTTTAATTTCTATATTTACTTTTGCAAACTTTTTTCAATTCCTATAGTTAATTTATTTGTCAGACTATTTTTAACTTTATGTTTGTATGAAATTTATTTTTGTTAAAATTATCTTAAAATAAGTCCATTGACATTTTGTGTTTTTTTTTTATCCTTACTTATGTCTATTATTGAGACAATCATTGCTCAACTTTTTTACTAGCTACATTGTCATATTTTTATGATTAGTCTCATGTTAATTGATATCAACAATGTGGCTCATGAAAAAATTATACAATTGACATTTTAACAATGAACATCATAATGGTAAAAAAAGTACGAGACATCAAAAGTAAAATTTATCATAACTTTGATCAAACAAATTTGACATGAAAAACATAAAATTAAAAACATTTGTCATATATCAATACAAACATAAAAAAATGATATTACAAAAAAATTAAAAGTACGGATCGAAAAGGATTCAAAGATGTATGTATAAAAATTTAAAAAATTTATCTTAAACTATAAAAAATTAAAAAAGATTAGAAAAAATAAATATAAAAAACTAAAAATATCTATTTAAAACTATAAAAAGTAAAGTGTAAACTAAGTGATATATTAAAATTATATTTTAATTTAAGTTTTATATATAACTAGCATTTTAATTTGTGTAATGTACATGTACATTTATTATATATAATTAAAATTTATAATAAATTAAATATAAATAAATATTTTATTTGAGTATATAAGTTATATATAAAAATTGAATTAAATAAAAATTTGTTTATAATTTTTTTTTATAAAAATAAAAATTAAATCTAGTTCTTGATATTTCTAACTACCCGACTTCTGGTGGTTAAATTTGTGGATAGTTTTATATAGCTGGGAAACAATTTTACTTATTCACTTCCTCTTACAAAACATAAAACCTAGACAGGCTTCAAATCCCCTGCCTCAGAGTCAGATTCATCTCGGATGGTTTAGCTCAGAATTCAAAAACGGTGAGAAAGTTTCTCTCTTTTTCATTTTTTCCTTTTCTAGGCTTTGTGGTTGTGGTTGGGTGTTCTCAATTTGGAAGATATCCAAGAACGACGTGTCGTCGGCACCGTTTTATCACTGCTATTTATTTCCTTTCATCAAAGTTGTGCTGTGTTGACTGTTGTGTGTTGCTGTTGAGTAACCCTGAAGAGACATGGGTCGAAAAGCAAGTTCAGATATGAAGATGAACGCGATTAGGTCAGGGATAGTGGTGCTGGGAGCGTTGGCATTCGGCTACTTGAGCATACGGATCGGTTTCAAGCCTTATCTGGAGAAAGCCCAGGACCAGACTAATGCGCTCTACCAATCTCACCCTTCTCACGAATCATCTTCTTCTTCGGTTTTCCCAGAAAACCCTTAATAACCACACTCTCTTTGGCTCAGGAGAAAACGAAGGAAATTTTGTTGTCCCATTTTGGTAATTAACTCGTTTTGTATTCTCTCTCTCTATTCTATTTGCTCACATAATAACATCATCAACCTTCACCCTTTTGTGGTCATGTCATCTTTAGTTTTGTGTTTGGAAATTCGCAATAATGTTGTTCTCATTACTCCCACAACCTGTAACATAGGTAATTTGATGGGGAATTTGTGTGCATTGGCTATTTGCCTGTTGCTCTATACTTTCTTCATAAATATAAAGCATATAAATATACATTATACATAATTGGGGGTTAATCAGACCCCAAAGAATTGTCACATTTCTTAGTTCACTTTTAACTGAAGAGGGATTCGTGCCAAGTTTATCAATATGCTTACTTGCAAGAGAATGATGCAGCACCTTCCTCAGACAATCATGCTTCGAACTCATGTTGAGCTATTGGTCAATCATAAAGAATCTGTCAATTGCAGAAATAGTTTTGTGATATTTTGAGTACACAGACAGCTCTATAGCAGGTTACAGTTGTATTTAGGCTGCATTGCTATGGTATTTTCTGTTTTTTCTTTAGGAAATTCATCTCATTTTAAAATTTTAGAAAATTATAGAAACTTAATTTTTTTATGTTTGACATTTAGATAACAATTTTAGAAGAACAGAATTTTTTTAATTTCTAAAATTTTATTAGTAAACTTAAGAATTAGATATAATTAAATTGAAGGTTCTTATTTGTATTAGTGTTATAAACTTTGGAGTTTGGATTATACTTCAGGGTGGCTATACTTGTGGCTTCTTTCAAAATCTCTGTTTTGTTTGATCATGAGTTGAATTAAATTGCATGATTGTTGAGGATTTTTGATCACTCCACTTGGCAATCGGACCAAGTTTCGAAGTAGTATTTAAGTATGGTCTTTAGGAATTTGAGAGTTTAACAATTCTTATATATGTTTGCAACTGAGTAAAGGTGAAGTGAAACAACACAATAAAATAAAAGTAGTAAAAACAATGTTTGAGAAATAAGGATCGGCTTAGAAGCACTTGCTAACACGTAGATCTTCTTAAAATAAATACGATTTTAATTTCATTATTTCCATGTTCATTTAATAATCCAACAAGATTCCTCAAAGTTGAATTTTAAAGTCATTAATCTTAAAACATGATTCCTCTATGTTTTGAGTTTAACACTTTGCATTAAGAACAGTGACTTGAACAATGTGACTAACCAAATCAAGTCTATTCCTAGAACAAGAAATGATTAGGTACACGATTCAGTTCAGGTTTTCAAAAACGTTTTCTAACTGGATTCAAAAACCAAAATCATACCACGGGTGATCAAACAACTATAAGCATTGAGTGAAGAATCAAGCACAAATAATGAGATTAAAATGCATATATTTAAGAAGAAGAGTTAGTAGTTACATCTAACCAATCCTTAATGAGTTTAGTCACACACTGCCATTACAAGATAAGAGAGGTGAAAGAAGAGATTACAAAATGAAAGATGAAGACAAGGGGTTGGGCTTCGTTCCCAAATGACCCAGTTGCCCAAATCTTCTTTCTTCTCTGTTTCTCCCTTCTCTGTGGTCTCAATCTTGTTTTTCTCTCTTGTGTTTGTGATGCCCCAAAAAGTTCCCGCCTTTTCCTTTTATATCAACCTCAAAACAGGGGAAATTTCCAAATTTTAACTCCAATGCTGTAGTTGTAGAACCATAGCTATGGCTGTGGAGAGTCCTTCAAGGTGAAGCAACTCTTGATGCTGCAGCTGTAAATCCACAGCCATGGCTGTGACAGCTCCTTCATGATTAAGAAACTCCCAATGTTGTAGCTATGAAACCACAGCTATGGCTGGGAATCTCTGTGACTATTCTTGATCTCCCAAACCTCAACGCTCTAGCTGTGAACCTACATCTTTAGCTCCAAGTCTCTGGACCCAAAAATGTGCATTCTAGATTTCCACAGCTATAGCTGCAGAACCACAGCTATAGCTGCAGAACCACAGCTATAGCTGCAGATTCACAGCTATAGCTGCAACTTTCTGACCTCCTAATTCCTTCCCAGATTTCCACAGCTCGAGCTCCAAATCCACAGCTATGGCTGTGGATCTCTGCCTTCTCAAATTTTTTGCACAAATGGAGGAAATTCATTAAGATTTTGCTACTACTCTTCTACCCTTTTAGTATAACTTGATTCTTCTAATTTAGGGGGTAAAATAACATATATAAATATCTACAATTACTAAAAAGAGGACCAAAAGTTGAGTGTAAATGAAGAATAAACGACACCGGTGTAACTTTTACTAAGTGTTACACCGCTCAATAACTTTATATTAAATGTGAATTTTGTAAATCTAACCGTTAGATTGAAAGTTCATATCTCTTAGATCATATACACAAAATTTTATAGTAATCAAAGATGATTTGATATTTCATTTTCATAAAACAAAACTGACGTAATATATATATTTTAAAATATACTAAAATATGAACACTTTGATTACCTTCAAGTTGTTGTTCAATTTTAACAAAATTTGACATATATGATCTAAGAGATATGAACTTTCAATCTAACGGTTGAATTTTCAAAATTCACATTTAACCTATATATATATATATATATATTAAACTAGTAGTTTATTATAACAAATTTTATGCACAAATATTCGAAAGGACGATTTTGTTCCATCCTTATCGCAGCAGCATTTATCTTTCTTTCTTGAAGACCCATGAACCACCTTCTATCAGACAAATTAGCAACATAATTAGTAACATATTGCTTGAACTTTCATACTAACGAGCCTTCGACTCACTTTATTAAAATCCACTAATATAAATGTCATCTTGCTCAGATGTTAATATACAAACTTGAAATTTGGTAATTATATATTTTCAAATAATTATAAATTTCTAAATGAGTATATAATTTTGATATATTATTATTCTATTTTTTTTTATCAATGCAAACGAATTAAAAATAAGTTTAAATATGAATGTTAAATAAATTATTACACAAATCAATAATTTTGACACATATAACAATTGATAGTTAAATGAGTAGCGTGTATGGTAAAATATTTGAGGAACTTATAAGCTAGTCTCATAAAAAAAATTGTTTAATAATAGAATTTATATTATGATCTGATATTTTATTTCTATAAATTAATTGAAGTAGTTTATAATTTATTAACTCTTAACCTTTTATTTTCTTTACTTTTTTTATTATCATTAATTTATTCTCAATATTTCTTTTTTACACTTTTTAAGTTAGAAACTATTTTGCATACATCTTACACCAAATGAATAAATCTTTTATTTTACACTAATCATTTAGCTTATTAATTAGTATTATTAAACACTTTCAATTTAATAAATTAACTTATGAACTTTTAACTTTTTAACTCTTAAACTATAAGCTTTAAGTTGGTTTATAAGTTAGTTTTACCAAGCGCATCCAATTAGTAAAGAGATAGACTATCAATATGTTTTTATTAAAACTTTCATATTTAATTAGTTCATATTGTTTATCATTTTAAAATTTTGGATAATTTTTTTTTCATTTTAATTTTATTTGTTTTTATTAAATGAAATTAGACAATGTAAACATATCAAGTTGCCATCTCCAAACAGCATAATCACCCAACCATATTTCACCATCAACATCATAAATCTGATTGTGTTTTTAAACCTTCATACTCTAAGTGTGTATGATAGAGGAAATAAATAAGGGAGAAATACAGTGGAGAGAAATTAAAAAAAAAATAAAAATAAATAAGAAATAAGGTATATATAAGAGAAAGGAGAAAAAAATAATAATAAAAGAGTGGGATAACCACCTTTTAATTTTTTTCTATTCTATTTTTTTTTACCAAATAATCTTACTTATTTACATTATCTTATTTTCACTATTTTCATTATTTTTTTTTTATCTATTCTCTTTTACCAAACAAGACATAAATGATTACTCACCCAGACATGACAAATGTAGTACAAGTTAAAATTAAAAAAAAAAAAAAAACTAAATGTTATTCAAAATAGTTTTTTAAGAATTGTTACAAGTTATTAAAATAAAAATGTTTAATTTGCACAATAGTAAAATAATGTTGGGTTAGTGAAAATTATGTCTTGCTAACATAAATTACTCCTTAATTAACTTTGAAATATTGTATAAATTATATCTATACTTAAAAAAACTTGTATACATTATTTTTTAGTTAAATGTGGTCGAGGTCTTATACTTTCATATTGAATCATTCAATCATCAAATCTTAAAGTAAGTGCTTTTTTTATATAAAAAAAAATATCATTTTTTTTAAGTTAGGATGTATAGAGTTCACGTTTTTTTTTATATTTTTTTTTATATTTTTAAGTTTAAGGACTATATTTATCGATTAGAAATTACATGATTCTTGTCCACTTTTGACAGAATATTACACATTTTCTCGTAAAATAATTTTAATTTATTTAAATAAGCTTTTAACACATGTAGAGACTTTTAACACATTGACTACTGGCCCACGTCCGCGCGTGAAAGCAAGTTCCAATCAGAAGCCGAATTTCAGCCACTTTCTTCAAGACAAGTAGACAACGTGGTGCACGTCTCTTTCTTTCTTCACTTCCTCCATATTCCTTCCAATTTCAATTTTAAAATCACCCACGTTCCCATTTTCTATTTTTCTTATATACTCAAAAGTCCCATAACTCTTACAATTTTCTTTTTAACTTAATAGATAACCCTTCTGATTTTTCCATTTGGAAACTAATCCTCCCCACTAATAATAATCAAAATCTGAACAAAATAATTGAATTCAAACACACGGACGTTAAAATAATTGTAATCGAAGAAAAAAATACTAATTAGTCATTTTTTTTATTATAATATTTTTATTCATGAAAATTACAATAATAATACCATGATTTAAACTAGGACCTTATGTATATTATCTTAACTTTGACTTATCTTAATAGTTTTATAATTATTATAATATGTAATTTATTATGAGTAAACACTCAATTTAGTCCTTAAAAGATTGTAGAAGTCACCAATAGATTTTTAAAAGATTATTTGTGACATATAAACTTCTAAATTTAACTAGATTATGCAAATTAGTCTTTTCATTATACTCAATTACTTATTTTGTTAATTTCATGACTAGACTCTCTCCCAATTACCATGTAATAATTACAAGTTAACTAGATTTAGATATATGACAAAATAAGGTTTAATTTTTAATTTAATTTAAAATAATTAAAATAAGTTTGAATGATTTATTTCTTCTCATTCATTCCCATTAAGTTCTTATTCATTTCTACTAGAGGAGTTTTGCAATTCCCTAAACATAACACATTATCGAGTTTGAATGACTTGTTTCTTCCCATTCACTCCCATTACCACTAAGTTCTTATTCATTTATACTAAAAGAGTTTTGCAATTCACTAAACATAACATAAACACCCATATTCGATTGACGCATCCTTATTTGAGATAACTCATTTTGCTAAACTCCAAATTCAATATTTTAGGATTTATAATGTTAAATCTTTAGCCAAAACAAACAAGGAAATTAAGGATGATTGGGACAAAAAAAAATTCAATTATAAGAAACTCACGAAACCCAATAATAACATTCTATTTTAACTAAGGCACACATGACCAAAATATTTAAACATGACAAATTATCTATTACTGATTGAAAAGTATCAAAATCTTCCATTATAGTCTATATTAGGTGATTAGGAAAAAATAACTATTTGAGAGGAGAATCAGTGTAAACTTGACACTTAACTCCTATTTAAGAAATTAACATAATTAATAATAAAGTATTATGGAAAGATTAACTTGTATAACAAAATTAAAATCACTTAGAAACATGTTATAAAAAATCTTTTAAGAACCTATTCACCTCCTCTATCATCTTTCAAACTAAATTAAATGTTTACTCAATTTATTATACTTAAAATTTAGCAATCCACCTATATAAAATAATTTTATACTACTATTAATGAATCGTAAATTATCATGTATGTTAAGTTTATTATATACTAATTAAAAAACCATATTAATAATAATTTGTGCTAATTAACGATTTAAAAATAATAAACGGTCATATAAAAAAGTTGTAATAGTCAAATTGTGATTTGAGTTTTTAATTTTAATCACAACCAAATTAAATAGAGTATTAAATACGAAGGCATGAATATGCTTCCTTGCTTATTGATCACCCATATCTTTCCTTTATTTTATTTTTGGCTTTTCATTCACGATATTTTCGAAACTGACCCGTCAAGCAAGCCTCGCCAAAGGGGCCAATGAACATTACTTGCATGCCACCCTTCTGCGTTTACGAACTTGTCACCATCTTTCTCTTTTTTTTCTCACAACACAACTTCAACTGCCACTAACCCAGATTCTCGAATTTCAATTATTTTCCTCTCTCTCTCTCTCTCTCTCAACTCAATCCAATGTCTTCTAAGAGGTCCACACAACAACACGTGGAACCCATGCCAGTGTTTGAAACTTTAAGGAGGGTGAAGCGTTTAAGTTTAAGGTTGTTCGAACCGTCCTTGGTCGTTGCCGGGTTTTTACTAGTATCTGCCTTTGTTATATGCAGCTTTTTCTACTTGGATTACAGAGAACTCGCTGCAAGATTCGGGTTCTCGGGTCAACCTGAGAAGTTTACTTGGTCGCAAGAGAAAAGAACAGGTTCAGTAGAGGAACGTGTGCATATAGTTGAATTTCTTGGAGAAAAAGGTGGTGGGTGTGATTTGTTTGAAGGTAACTGGGTTTGGGATGAAAGTTACCCTTTGTATCACTCTAAAGACTGTAGCTTTCTCGATGGAGGATTTCGGTGTTCGGAGAATGGAAGACCCGATTTATTCTACACAAAGTGGAGGTGGCAACCCAAAGCTTGCAACTTGCCCAGGTAAAACTTACTCGTATGATGTTTTTTTTGCCCCATCTTTGGGACCAATCACAAACTAGAACAAAACATTGGCCATTGTTTTCACCAACCTTTGGCTGCTCAGAAATGTAGAATGGAAATGGTAAATTCAATTGTTTTTAGTTTCTACCAAGGTGTCAGCAAATGTCAATGTTCAATTTTCACTAATAGAAACTCGAAGTAATATTTTCCTTATAAAAAAAAACACTCATCTTAGTGTGTGAAATTTTCCACTTTGGTCACGTCATAGTGTTAATGATGCACGACTTCTTGACTTTGTGCACGTCTTACTCTATTCTTATCCGGCATCTTTTGAGAGTGACCCCGCTATTGGCCTATCGGGTGACTATTGGTTATTTTTTATGGTAATTTATCTGACCTGGGAACTTTGAGAAAATGACAATTTTTGCCTAATGCTGCTTGACTTGGCCAGTTGGGATAGATGATTCTCGATAAGTTTTTTAAGTGGTATATATATGATGATATAACGTGCTAAACAAAATTTTGAGGTATCTAATTTTCACGCGGAACTACAATCCTTTCGGGATGGCCGCATTGAAATAGACGGGGAATTGTCAATTAGTGACCTAAGAATATTATTTTGTCATTCATATTTTTAGTTTAATTTTCACTATAATAGATTATAAGTTCAAATTAATTATTACAAAACTCAACAGTTTTAGTATTATATGACAACTTACATACACATGCACACTGTCGCTCTTCTTTCTTTTTGGATTAAACAGCATTAGTTGCATCCATAGCCGTTAATCAATGCCCTGGAGGCTGGAACTATATGTTTATTCATGCTTTGTATTTGTGAAATAACGATATATATTGGTTAATTTACACCCTTATTTTTTTCTGCAAAACTTCATCTATTTTATTCGAAGAGTGATGAAGTGGACACCTTTATTGCTATTTTTTCCCCAATAATTTGTGTTCAATAACAAGCCTGACAGACTAATTTTGTTTCTGTTCAAACATAATTCATACTCTGACTGATTTGATGGATAAGTAGAAGTGAATCTAAACATTGGACTTCTCCCTAACAAACACAGATTCAATGCTACAATGATGTTAGAAAAACTGCGAAACAAACGCCTAGTGTTTGCCGGGGATTCGATTGGGAGGAACCAATGGGAGTCACTATTGTGCATGCTCTCTTCTGGAGTTCCAAACAAGGAATCAATCTATGAAGTGAATGGTAGCCCAATTACAAAGCACAAGGGGTTCTTGGTGTTCAGATTCAAGGATTTTAACTGTACCGTGGAATACTACAGAGCTCCATTTCTTGTGTTGCAAAGCCGGCCTCCTCCTACAACTAATGGAAAGATTAAGACAACCCTGAAATTGGATCAAATGGATTGGTACTCTTCGAAATGGAGACATGCAGATGTCCTGATTCTTAACACAGGACACTGGTGGAACTATGAGAAAACCATAAGAGGGTAACTCAATCCCCCCCGAATCTTATCATGTTATTTTGACTTATGCATGATATCATGCATTTATGTGTATTTTTCACGTTGGGGGAAGGATTTGATTTTTTCTATAATTGTCCAGGGGTTGTTATTTCCAAGAAGGTATGGAAGTAAAGTTGGAAATGAAGGTAGAAGAAGCATATAAGAGGTCCATTGAGACAGTGTTGAAATGGATACAAAATACAGTAAATCCTGGGAAGACCCAAGTTTTCTTTCGTACTTATGCCCCTGTGCATTTCAGGTATGCAATTTGTTTCATTTTTGCAAATGACACTCTTCTAATGGTATCATTTGCATTGCTCTCCTAAGTTAGGTGTGAAAATATGCAATGTCATAGTACATATTCTTGGATACGTGAGTAAAATTGATAGAGTTAAAAATTGTATTGAACTTAAAAAAGTTTGTTTGAACTAAATTGAATTACACATTAGTTCAAGTAAATTGAATTGAACTATATTGTAAAATTTTGAATTGAATTGTAATTTAAAATATATTAAACTATTATGATATTTTGAATAGAATAATTTTAACTTGTTGATCTATCAAGATAATAAATATTTTTAACTTTATTTTATTCTTTTATTTAATTTTTTCAAAGAAAATATATATAAAAATTTGAGTCAAAAAATTAGTTGTCCTACATAGTCTGTTGAGCTCGACAAATTTAACACAATTTTTTTGAATCACTTTTGTTAAAGCTTGGATTGTTAGATTGTTGGACTAATCTATTAAGACAGAATATGTTAGATATATTTAATTTTTACCGTTTTGTAAAAATATTTTAATTTTTGTAATTCAATTTAATTTTCGAACAATTTAGTTCAATTCATTTTTGATTCTCTGATGCAGAGGTGGAGATTGGAGAAAGGGTGGAAGCTGCCATTTAGAAACACTGCCAGAGCTTGGTTCGTCATTGGTGCCTAATGATAACTGGTCACAGTTCAAAATAGCGAATTCTGTGATATCATCACACAGAAACAGCAGTGAAGTTTTGAAGTTGAAGATATTGAACGTAACTCGGATGACAGCTCAGAGAAAAGATGGGCATTCATCCATATATTATCTAGGCCCGAATGCGGGCCCCGCACCTTTCCATCGCCAAGATTGCAGCCACTGGTGTCTCCCTGGTGTGCCAGATACTTGGAATCACCTACTCTACGCCTTCTTCCTAAAACATCAAACTTCTCTTAGACGCAACTAGTAATGCTCAATGCCCACCATTTTATTTTGCTTATGGATGTAAAGCAAAATCAATATACCTATTCTTTCCTACGAACTCCATTTCTTACTTTTGCCTATAGATTAGAGTGGATAACGGACATGTAATTATCCATTTTTGTTTATTGTTCAATTGTCAATATAGTTATACAAATTAAAATTAGCAATATTATCGTTTTCAGGGAGCGTGCAATTCACATTTGGAATCCCGTTGCATTTAAAATATGGAAGCTACACGTTAATTTATCATAAATATGAATTCACATTTCCTACTGTTGAAATGAACACCACTTAAAGTCATTCTCTGTTGCAACTTGCAACGTGACAAACATGGAACCAAACGAGATTTACGTCCCTCTCTTGCACTCAGTTTCATCTAGCAAGTCATTTCTTGAAAAATGCAGGCTAAAATCACAACCCCACTATGTTAATTTTAACTATTCAAGCAATGGTTCTTTGACCCATACTAGTTTATGGGTACCGCGCGCTTACTAATTATTAATCGATTATGAACAAAACTTTCAAAAAAAGATATACTTAAAAATAATGAGGTTTAATGGCGCATTTTGCCATTAAAATTGCACGATTTGGTAAAGTTTATTTGCTAATTTTTTTTATTTTTGCTTAATTGTCTATTAACATTGCATGTTTACTGTTTATAATATGAGAAACAAATGAGATGAGAGATGAGATGTTCACAATAAATTAATGATTCTTAATGTGAAGTGATAAAATATGTAGAATTTTAAAAAACAAGCAAAAAGAAGTAAAAATTAAAAATTAAGAAATAAAAATTAGGAAATATCATGAGATTTAGTGAGAAAAATGTGTAATTAAGCGAACTAATTCTTAATTAGGAGAAATAATGGAAGCATAAGAATGATCGAGATTGAAGAAATTGGATGCTGCCACGTCAAAGTCAAAGTAAGGGGTTACACTTACATATACATAGTGTATAGGAAGTTACAAAACTGGTATCCATTTCCGAAGCACGATTCATCACCAATGGCGGAAGCGTCCTTCGCCTTCTTCCTTCTGTTTCTCCTTCCCGTAGCCCTTCTGGCCCTGCTCTTCTTCCTGGTCCGCCCTCGTCCCGTGAAGATCCCAATCAAGAACCGCCACGTCTTCATCACCGGCGGATCCAGCGGCATCGGTCTCGCGCTGGCGCACCGCGCGGCGGCGGAGGGAGCGCGCGTCTCCATCCTGGCGCGCTCCCCGGGCAAGCTGGAGGAGGCGCGCAATGCGATCCGCCTGGCCACGGGCATCGATGTGGCGGTGTTCGCGGCGGACGTGCGGGACTTCGACGCCGTGAAGCGCGCCGTGGACGAGGCCGGCCCCGTGGACGTGCTGCTCCTGAACCACGGCGTGTTCTATGCGCTGGAGCTGGAGAAGATGGAATTGAGTGAGGTGAAGTTCACGATGGACGTCAACCTCATGGGAACGTTGAACCTCATCAAGGCCGCGCTGCCCGCTATGAAGAACCGCAAGGACCCGCTGCCCGCTTCCATTGCCCTTGTTTCCTCACAGGCTGGTCAGGTACACCCCCTCACCCTGCCCCTCTTTCTGCCCTATTTTATTTGTTCTGAAACAATTTTTTATGTTATTATTGTTTTAGGTGGGCATTTATGGTTATGTGGCTTATTCCGCGAGTAAATTTGGCCTTCGTGGTTTGGCAGAGGCGTTGCAACAAGAGGTTGTAGCAGATAACATTCATGTTTCTCTGATTTTTCCTCCAGATACCGATACTCCCGGATTAGCAGAAGGTGTGTATTAAATTGGATTTGACTTTATTTCTCATACATGTTACTTTTGCTACTTCCACTACTAGATTGTCTTTCCTTTTCTAATTAGTTTCAATCCATGATTATCTTTAGTTGAATAAACTTTTCCATCAACAGTTATACATGAAGAAAATAAGAAAGTATGTCTTTCATAAGCTAAAATCAACTTAGGATCTATTTGGAAAAACTTATCCAGAAAAGATGAAATAAGTTCTTCAATAAATTAAAATTAATTTATGCATAAGCTAATTTACAGAAGTTCTCTCTTATTAACTTCTCCAAAATCTTTATTTTAATCTATGCATAAGCTAATTTTAGTTTATGGATAAGTTTAGTTCGACTTTCCTTCCTATTTTTCTTGCCTAGAAGTGCTTCTTTAGAAAACTTATCCAAACAGACCCTTAATACATGTTAGTTTTTGAAGAAGTAAGATGATAAAGCTTAGTAAATATCTGTTGTGCTTCAGAGGTTTACAAAGATGAAAGTTGTGCTTTCGGCATGTTAAATATCTGTTTATACATCATAGCATCTTTTGTGAAGTTTATGTATCGTGTAATCAATGAGGAAGTACAAGCTGAAAGGTTACTTTTACAGAGAACAAGAGAAAACCAGAGCTTACCAAAATCATTGCATCCTCGTCTGGTTCAATGAAAGCTGAAGAAGTTGCTCAGAAAGCTTTGGATGGCATAAAATGTGGCAATTTTACTGTTTCTTGCAATTTTGAGGGAATTGCACTATCCCTAGCAACTGCTGGATTATCCCCTCAGAGGTCTTTCTTAATGGCATTTGCTGAAGTTGTTGCTGCTGGAATTCTACGGATTGTTGCACTCTGTATGCAGTGGAGTTGGTATGGAAGTATAGAGAAATACCACAGCCAAAGGAAGAGTAAGTGTTTCACAAAAAGATATATTTATGAAGGGATAGGGAAATCATCTCTTATTTTTTCTTGGTGTAATTTGCATTTGTCCAATAACTTGTTAATATTAATTAAGTTTTACATCTATCTATTGGTTCCTATAGTTAAAAATTAATCTCTAGAGTTAGAATGTTTCACATAGGACTCTTAGAATTGCAAAATTGTTCTGATTGGCTTTCAATTATTACCTAGTATCCAGTATCTGTTAATTAGAGCCGACATGGCAAATGGAGTGAGTTTGTGGCAATCAGTTTTGCCCGCTTGGACTAGAGAGGTGGCATGAAATGGGTTGATTTGGTCACCTTATGATACATTCAAGCCAAAAAAAAAAATTGCCACATAAGCTCACCATATGCTACCGTATCACTAATTAACGGATGCCTAATAGCTGGTAAAGGTGTTGGCATGGGACCAAATTAAATATTACGTTTAGTAATTCCAAGGACCCGTTTAGAAACTTTTGAACAGGAATTAATTCAAAATCTGGTTAAACTAGAGACCAACAAAATGGTTAAAGTATAGAACCAATACTGTTAATAAACTTCAAAGTTGTTACGAAGAGTTTACTTTGGATGTCAGTCATTAACAATTTGTTTTGCAATTTGCACGAAACATCCCCATTTATGTTTCTAAGCTTTTAGAAGTCAGCTTATTATATTAGGGCGGCCTTTCTAAAAATTTAGAAGATACATTTTATAATTTTTTCTTCGGTTACAATATAACAATGGATCAATGCAAGTTGAAATGAAGAAATAATTATTTATATTCTTATTTATTTTTTCTTCAAAATTTGTCTCCGTTTAGTAAAAGTTTCAATTCTTCAAAAGCATTTAGAATATTGTAAAAGGTTAGTTGGATGTTAATTTTATCTGGCTGAAGCCTCTTAATGAAAAGCCTGCACCCTGTAAAAGGTTAATGATAATTCAAATGAAATGCCAAGGTAAAGCTTGTGTAGTTGATGATTTATACTTCTAACAGGTTCATCCCGAAGGAGCTGAAACACTCCGAGTTCTATGCCCTGTTTAGGAGTTACATGCAGATATGGGGATGTGGCTCTCTTCCACTCTGTTCCACAATGATCGTTAACAAATGATAACTCCATAAACTTCAATTATTCAGTTTGTTTCTGACTTTCATCCCTATTACTTGATAGAGAGTGATGAATGAAAATACGGTACGTCTCGTTTTAATGGCATTTTTGTTGTGTTATGCATATGTATCATTAGCAATTTAGCATCCTATATTTTGAGCTACTCATTTTCCACCGTTGTACTTTTAAGTTTTAACTGTAACAAGTTGACCTTATAATTGTTTTCTTATAGTGGAAAAGATTTGCTTCCTAGTTCTTTTAATAGTACGGTGTTTTATTTTCATTGTTATGGTTGTATTAATCCGGTACCCTGTGAGTTTGAGTGAAGATATCGTCCTCCTCCTCTATGTTTCGGAAAGCAGAAAAATTGTGCTCTTTACATGAAAGACGTCATTTTCCTATGAAATGTTTGTATCAAATAGAATTTAACTAATGTAACGTAACTTATGTAACCATGTAATGTGATATAATGTTAGGAGTCCCACGTTGAGTAGAATACGAAGTTCATATGATATTTAATTCTTGAGGTTGTTCTACCTAATGGGTTTGTTTTTTGAGTTGGACTCTTTTTATATACTTAAGTTCTAACATGTAACTTATCAAATTCAAAAATTGTGCTCTTTATATGTATCCGAAGATCTGTGGAAGGAACTATTCTTATTGGCTATTTAAACATGTAATGTAGCTTATTAAGCTAACGATCAGCGTAAATCTATTGCACTAGAGCTACGAATACGATGACCCCAGAGATAGGAATACGATGACTATTCTTATCGGCTATTTAACCATGTAATATAGCTTATTAAGCTAACAATTAGTGTAAATCTATTGCACCAGAGATAGGAATACGATTACCCCACTGTTTTTTTTTTTTTTCTTTTTTTTTTTTTGTGTTAAGGAGGGCTTGAAAGCCCTAAACATACTAAGTACTCTGCCGAATCTAGGCATAGGGAGGTCCATTTATCATGCAACAGCAAATTAGCACAGACACGGGGAGCATTGTTTACAACATGAAAACCAATGGCAGTATTGTGAGCCAATGTTGCCGTACAATCAGCTACCATGTTTGCCTCACGATACACATGGGTGAATTTGATTGTTCATGACTTTCTTCTCCACTGTTACATATACGCATATGTATTATTATATTCTTTATGAGTGGTGATTTTAAACACCTAATCAACAATTCTTATTTTTCTTTCTCTTTCTTTTTATTAAGTCAAATAATCTATTGTATATACATTTTTCTCTCTCGCACTAGGTGTTAAATATCATGTGGTGGTAGGCCACTATTGACTCAAGTAAAACATCTCAGTGTTTGCACTTTGCACGTTCCCACCTATTACACAAACCAGTCCGAAGTCCTCTGGGTCGGTCCAATCCCGCATTGTTTGGACTTTAAGTTAACATACTGCTATAGCTAGTCCGGCCCATTGAGCAAACATAACTTGTATCTCTATCTGCATATTTCGAACCAGGGGCAGAGCTAGAACTTTATTTTGAGGGGACTAATTTTTTTTAACACTTATATGTACATATTTTTATATCATAAATATTTTATTATTATTTATATTTCTTTTATCTCTCTTTCTAGGACATTATATATATATATATATATATATATACATATTAATCCAATATATATTTCTCTCTTTTTTCTTTTCATAAGTGTAAACTAAAATAATAATTTTGATCTATCAACTTATAATAATTTTTATAAACAAAAATTATATTCTTAAAAGTAATTTTGATACATTTTAAAAAAATAGGGAGGGGAAGAAGGACCATGTCCCCTCTCCAGGCCCCCCTCACTTTGCCCCTATTTCGAATAAAACAATTATGAACAAGAAAAATATACTCACACTATCACAATTAATAAGGGAAAACAGTAAATGGCATAAAAATCAAGCAATCCAACTAAGTTTCTTAGTTTAGTAGATGTAACGTCTGTTCTGTTAGGGGTGTGCAAAAAATTCAAATTGATCCGAACCGATCCATAACCGAACCGATCTATATTGAAAAATCCGATCCATTTTGGAAAAAAATCCGAACCGAACCACTTTATAAAACTGGTTCAGTTATCCGATCCATTTTTACAAAGTGGATCGGTTCGGTTCGGTTTGGTTTTCTAAAAAAACCGATCCATATGTGAGTAAAAAAGTGGATAACTGCATCGCACCGAACCGATCCAATTTCAAAAAAACTGATCCATATTTTAGAAAAACCAAACCGATCCACTTTATAAAAAATGGATCAGTTAACCGATCCACTTTTATAAAACGGTTCGGTTCGGTTTGGATCGGTTTTTTCAAAAAACCGATCTATTAACACCCCTATGTTCTGTGATACAGGAGGTCGATTTAGTTTTTTCAGGTTTAATTTTTGTCTATGTTGAAATAATGATGCTAGACCAATAATAACCATGTTTCACAAGTACAGATTAATTTTTAATTATCAATTTTGAAATGTTGCGTGTATCATATTCAAAAAAAAAAAAAATAAAGGAATTGATTTAAAATACAAATATAGCAGAAAATTTTAATCAAACAAAAAATTAAACTTTTGACTGGCATGAGACACAACACAACAAAATCTGAAGCGTCCAACTAGGATTTTAAATGTCATGCCTGACTCAAGTGTACGTGACTCACATGAGACACTAACTGGCATGAGACAATACAAGGACTATGAAGTACTAACTCGAGTGTTTGAAATGGTAATTTTTTGAACTTTTGTCTAAGAATCACTAATCAGCAAGAAACACAGCACATACAAGGACACACGGCAAAATCTAAAGCGTCCCACTAGGATTTGACCAGTTGTGTGTGAACATGACCTTCCTTTAATGTGTCTGCTTCAAAGATTTTGACGGTGGCTATTTATAATTGGAAGCCGTACTGATCTTAGGCCTGATACCTTTTACTGTAAAGTATACATTATTTGTGTTTATACTATACATTTAAATTTTAACTAATGAATTTGATATTGACTTTTTTTTTACTTGAATTCAGGCAACTCATATCTCGGTGCATCTTTGGTATATATGCCTTCTAAATTCTGATGTGTTTTCAACTAAATTGTGGGAACAATTTGAACATGTTTAGATTCACACCAATTTTAGGATGTAGATAATGGAAGTAACAATTCATTACTTTTACATCAATTTTGACGTGATTCTTAATTATAGTAGATCATGCATGTCAAAAGATAAACGATTAGTGAGACACCTTCCATCTATATGGCACCTATTAACAAAAAGATAGAGAAGTATAAATATGATGAGAAGAAAGAAATATAGATAATTAATAGTATTAAGCAGTAATATTCGAACTCGACATTAGTGAATATTTTTGAGCTATCACATACTAATTGAATTACATGCTCATTGATATCCTTTTATTTCTTTAGTTTTTCTTTCTGCTTCCCCCTCACTCTTTTCCATCCCAAATCCCAATCCTCCCTTTTTAGGGTACTTTATCACTGCAGTGTGTAAACTTACCGAGGATGTTGTTGTCCATGTAAAGCGTACAACCAGCTAGGACGACAGAAAGATTCTCCTGTCCCAGAAATTTAAGCCTTGTTTTCAAAGGAGTTAGTGGGGTTACTGATATGGATACAGCTGGAGGAACATAATTTTGGACATGCAAATATACTTCACTGCTGGAATTTTCAAGGTTCCACCACCATAATTGCTTGATCAGTATCTGATATCACAAAAATTTGCCCATATTGATTAGACAAAGTTAACTGCTTCTACCCTGTAAAACTTATTCGCGGATGACTAGTCAATACATATTGATACCGTGGTTTTGTTTTGTCACCCACATGACCATGAGTTTTGCTTTGGCTATTCCATTTTACAACATTCTCACGGCTTTTATCTCAATTAAAAATATCTTGATCCTGATAGTTTGTTAATTTAATTTGTGTTAGAAAAGTGATGTACATGTCTACGTGCATCACTTGGCAAGAAATTATTGATACGTTGAAAATTACTATACCGGACTATTTACTAGTGTTAAGGAACCATGTCAGGAGTGGAATAATGGTCCTAAAGAAACTTTTAGACTTGTACCTTGTATGCTTGGGAGGATAAATGTAAGACCTCATCATACACATTGTAATTGAAAGTAGATAATAGATATTGAGATTTATTATCTGATTTAAGTTTACAACGATTCATTAACAAGGCATGCATTATTATAGATAGAGTTGGTTTAGTACATATATATGGGAGGTTAGAATAATATCCATGAAGTTTCAAATTCTATCTTTAGTGTGATCACTGTAAGAAGAAAAAAATCTGCTTTGCGATTCAAATAGATGCCTTAATGTTGAATTTTCATGACTATATGATGCCCGTCAATGACATATTTTTATGTTTAGTACTTATTTATGGACAAAAATATCATCTTTACTTTTACTTGATTGATAAGTTACGAAAGATTGCTTGCTATGTGATTCATGTCTATGGATGTGTCAAGTACGTATTATATTTGGGACCATTTACTATTGTGACCATATCATGTCAATAATACTATCATAGTTCTGATGAGAAGTGGGACGATATCTGAGTTGAAAATTAAATAAGATGTTGGTTTCTAAATTCGAACCTGCACTTCCAGGAAGGTTCCTCCCTTCACTTGGCCGTAGACATTGACATACTGTCAAATGTTTTTGTCTTTCTCAACTATTCATCACTTTGGTCCAAATAATATGTGGATAGGAATATTGTTTCAACATTTATTATTAAAATTAGTACAAATTTTGAAATACGATTAATATTGAAACAATATAAAAAACTAACAAATTTATGCATAATAATTTATAATTAAACAATAAAGTGAAAATATTTCAGATTATTTACTCTATTTTTTTTTTAATTTATTTCATTTTATTATACTTTGTTTAATTTCATTTTATTTTACTTTGATGGAGAACAGGGGAGAGTGAAAATTTGATGGACAGCAGCCATGGAACCGAATCTGGTGGAAAAGGATTCCACAAAGTGTGGAAAACTCGCCCGAATCCCGATATTTTTTTATCAATAAATATATTCAAAATATGATTTAAATGTATTTTTAACCCTATAAAATAGATAATTTTGATTTTAATCTCTGTAAAAAAATAATTTTTATCCTTCTAAAGTTTATAAATATTATTTTTAATTTTTTTGTAAAATGAGTTAATTTTAAATTTAATCTCTGTAAAATATTTTTTTTATATTTTATTTTCATCCCTCTAAAATTTAAATTTATTATT